GAAAATTTTGAAAACAAACAAGTCGCTATGACAACTGATATACTTGTCATTGACTGTGACGAAACATGGCGACCGGCCGCAGCGAAAAAATTGTTGTCATATTCAGTAACGATAAAAGTAATGTTGTCCTTTTTACATACGAATATATTCATGAGCTAAAAAGAGACGCCGATATTTCGTTACATTTCTACAACTAACGATCTTTATGTCATGTCCTTTCTTTTTTCTTTAGTCAAAGCTGTTGAATGCTAAAAGTTTTTTTTTGTTGTGTAGTGCAGTGCCTTCATCTTATCTTATAGTAGGTGTTTTTCTTCTATTTATATTTTATTATGTCAAATAAGTGTCTTACAGTTTATTTCAAGTGTTATGGTAGGAATGTATTTTTTAATTATTACTTTATGTAAGATGCATAATTTTGTAATTTATTTAGCCAATAAAAAAACTGCTAAGAAGTTTTGTAATTATTAAAAATCACAGTATATGTATGTTTGTCGCTACTAGTTGGGGGAGAAAAAACAAAAACTTTCAGGAGTGGTCTTCAGTATGCCTCTATTAGAGTCGTTATTTAAATTATTTAAAAACCCTATCAATTGCTGTATAAGGATATATTGCGGGATTTGTGGCAGAAAAAGGTTCAGATACCATGCAAGAAGAAGCAGTGACAAACTGTCTTTTAGAAATTATATTAAAAAATAATTTTGTTCAGAAATGAACAAATAATAATAATAATAGTTTATATAAAAATCTATCATGATCATGAAACGGTGGATGAAATATGATATCCAGGATGTTATCCTGCATATCATATTTCATGATCATGCCAGATTTTAGAATTTTTCGAAATTTGATAATATTTTTCATTTAAAATCCGAATAAATAAATAAAATATGATATACAACTTGTATAACTTACTATTTGTGATGAATTATGTGCAGAAAAATTAATAATAAATAAGTATTGATTTCTAAAACAGTTTATTTCATTTTTACTCAACTTATCATTATTATTTTACATTAATAATATGGGATCTGGGATCACCATCCCAGTAATACTTTCAACACAAAAGAAGGATTTAATTTCTATCTACACAAAAGCCATAAATCAGTCAGTCAAATTTATTCGCTAGATTAGTTATTTTACGATTGAAAATTCAGCCCTGTATCTATGTAAATACCTACGGAATAAAGTAAATTAAGCAACAAATCCAATTATATAAAATGGGAAAAAAATTCATATTAGTTAAATATCGATATCAGCTGCGCATATTGCAGAGTTACAACCCTATAAAAGGCGACCATTTTATGCGCCAGGTTTTTGTAGGTAGTCACGCTAATTTTGAAGTTATGCCCAGTCCAGTGGTACTGAGTTGTATTTCGGAACATGTCCAAGAACAAGCAACAAGTAACCACAGACTACTAAGAGGATACAAGTAACCATAGATAAGAGCGTATATACTAATGGTGGTTAATATAGCGCATAGCGCCATATTATAGCGCGCTATCTCTCCATAACGCATAGCGCGTGCTATGTAAGTAGTCGCCATGGCGCTATTAAGTATTAATATCTAGCGGCAACTATTTCTAGCAGCAGCGCTGTTGGGAGAGGACGTGTGACGCAAACTTGATCTAGTAGCACGCTATTCATCGCGCGCGACCTAATTTAGTGTTAGACGTTGTTTAGTTAGTGTATACTGTATATTTATAAGTGATCGAAGAACGCAGTTGTCTGCTATAAAAGAAGCCTAACTAATGTTTTTAAATGTAAATAAAATATAGATATAAAGGTGTATAATATAATAGTGTATGTAAATAGTTGATTTTTATAAATACAATCAGCAAACTTTTAAATACACCTTTATTTGATTTATAATTTATATTAAGGTTAAAATAACGTTTACATCAATTAAATTAACGAATTATTGTTCAATTAACTTTAGAGATGGACCGAATATTCGTTTTATATTCGGTATTCAGCAGCTTTACCGAATATTCATACTCGGCCGAATATTCGGCGAAATCACCGAATATTCGTTTAAGTGGTACTCAAAATGTCCACTGTACTGAATTGTACGAATTGAGTAATGTCATGTCTTTTATAATTTTACTGTTAAAAGTGTATTTTATTTATGGATTAAATCTACTTGAAATGTTATGTTTTCGAGTTACTTTAGATTTATTTCCAATTACAGCCAATAGAAAGCTTGATAAACTGTTTTTAGAATCAAACAAATAAACATTACATTACATTAGTACATTTCACTTTACTTTGGTTGTCAGTTTTTCTATATAATTTCTCGCGCTTTATGGTAACAAGTTTCGACATAAATTGGTAGGTACCGAGGTGATCCAGTTGAATAGTGTTCGGCCGAACTTTCGTATTCGGTGAAATCCATATTCAGCCCATCTCTAATTAAAATCGAATCCAATCTTGAATATTTGTTTTTGTTAGTCTTTTAAGATTAAATGGAAACGATAATAAAATTGAGGTCCTTTGGAATTGCGGCGATTTATAATTTTTGAAATGAATTTTAAACCAATTGCTAATCAAGTAAGCAATTCGGCATATTGCTCCATTAAAATCGAATCGAATATTGACAAAAACAAATATTCAAGCAATAATATTTATATAATAATGAATATTTGAAAACAAATATTAAAACAGTATGTTAGCAATGAAAACGTCTTAAACTTATATTATATAATGGCGTCTTTGCATTATTTCTAACACTTTTTTAAATAAAATATGTAATACAAAAAATTATGTGCTGTATTGTACCCTGTAGTGTAATAAGTCATGACGGCGTAAGAGAATTCACTACTAAATGTCATCCCGTGGGTGTCGTAAGAAGCGACAGAGATAAACTAAAACATGAGATGCGTAGCAGCCTCTTCAGAAAAGAAAACGCTGCCGTTGCCAACCCACCTGATGTACTGTGGCAAATATTCCCACAGTATCACCCATAGAATACTGTAATACATATATAATAGAACGGGGGAGTGGGCGGAGCCCGCGTAACCACTAAAATGTCACTAACACGTCAATTCACACGTATAAATGTCAACACGAGATGTATTCCGACGTTACAATCGTTTCCAAATTTCGCATGCAAATTATTTAGAAAATGCCAAAATGCACCCTATTTACAAATAATTATGTAAGTAATAAACGTATGTGTTAAACGATTTTTTTAATGATGATCTTGAACATTAATCAAAAGTTTAAAATGTGTACATTTATTCAGTCTGTCAACACAGCGAATCGGGTTTAGCGACGCCCTTTCTCGTACAAAACAAAGTTGACAGCCACTCTATTGTGTATTATAGTATTCTATGGTATCACCAATCTTTAGCAATAGACCTTTTGTTTAAAAATAATTATTTGATGAGTATTGCAATAATGCATTCTATAGACTCATAGAGTATATCTAGCCTATTTAATAACGACATATCTGCTAATTATAAAAATACATTTGTATAAAAAAAATAAGATTCATTAATCTTACTTTTATAATTTGGTGGTTCAATTTAAGCGTATTATTACATATTATTGATAAATTAGTTTAGAACGCATGAAGCAGTAATTAAATATTATTAACTCATTTTGGTAGCAACAAGAGTAATTATTTCTTTCTTTTTAAAAGTTTACTTTTTAACTTTTTGGCTTTAATTTGGAAATAGTTCTCATTATCATCTACTTCTTTCCTCCCAGCTAATATTCTATTAACATTTTTAAAACTATTAAAAAACAGACAACGCATCACAATATTAATAAAATAATCAACTAATTTATTTTTATGCACATTACATTTCATAAAATCAAAATCAATTAAAGTATATAATATGCTTGTTTTCATAATTTCTTTCAACTGATCATTTTCAAAATTATCCTTTGAAATATGATTGATTATATCCCGCATATCTGAAATTGATTGAATCAAATCATTGCAAGGAATACAAAGCCATCGTCTACCTGCATATTCTTTGTATTTTGTATGTATTCAATTTCATCTTCAGAAAATAGGTCATATTTACAGTTTTTTTTATTCTTAGAAAAAGGGCTTTGTCGCTGAATCGATTGACGCCCTGGTACAATAAAATTCATAAATAGGATAAATACTAACAAATAAACTTATTAATTATTTTATCTCTTTTTTTATTTTTTTTAAATAACTATATGGCCCTTGGTATTGTGATAATGTCACAATAATTCTGCCAATGTCCAGTCTTCGGTCTGTCACACCTTGTCTTGAGGCTTTCCGGTGGAAAATCTTCATTTTATGTTCTTTTACTTCACAATATGCTGATGCGTCACATTGCGAAGCCCTTGGGAGATTTTGACGGTAGCTCAACCTAGCGGACAGTTGATGACGACAGCCACTCAAGTTCATAAGACGCCCAAGCGATCAAAATAACTTGAGGTTTATATCGACATCAAAGCACTTGTTTCGTCGTTTTTTCTAATAGTTCACACGCGTGGACACTTAATTCACAAAATCGCATCACTTTTACGAATCAAAATCCACTTCAAACCATTATTCAAGCGACAAAACAGGAGCGACAATCCGTTCACGGCCTAGTTCCCGCCAAAACCCATTTTATCTCTTATTTACTAACACAAAGTTTTTTGGCATCATCTGATAACAGGTCAGATAAAATACTATTAATACTGCCAATTAATGACAAATGTAAAATACAATTTTTTCTTTCTATGGAGTTCTGGGCACATTCTATCAAAATGTGATAAACGAGTCTCGTGTCGGTAAGCGTACGAGGTAGTTGTTTATACTGTGCGTTAAGTTGTTTACGTTAAGTGAATCAACGATCTACCTATACTGTGTGCGATTACGCGCTGTGTCGCAGTGCCAAACCGGTTTGCTGTTAACTGCAGCGATGCATTTTATCTAAGTGCCGGACGTTAGGTCTGTTAATATAATGGACGAGTATACTATGCGTAATGAATTTAGCGCTGATGTACTGCGGAGGTCAAGTAGCAGTCCTAATATGGAGTTAAATAAATCGGTATTTGAATTGGACCAGTACGATGATGAAATAATATCTCAGGTACAGATGGATAGCGAGTGTAGTAATATAGGTAAAAGTAAAAGAAACAGGGATGAAGAAGAAAATGAATGGATGTTGGTAAAAAGAAAAGAAAATATTGTTAAAGTTGGGCACGATAAAATTGAGGTGTATATTTCAATTAATGAGTTACCTAAGCAATTTGGCTTAGCTAGGGTGTTGAAGGAGCAACAAATTTTAGACATATCTAGAGTTAAATATTTAAACCCGTACAAAGTGTGTTTAGATATTACTAATGAGATGAGTGTAACCAAGTTGGAAACATGTAAAGCATTGATTGAAAGGGGTTGGAAAGTTCAAAAAGCTATGGAAAAAAGCGTTTCATATGGGGTTATTAGGGATGTTGATATGGAACTAGGCGATGAGGAAATACTTAAGAACATTTCATGTCCCAACAATGCAGAACTTCTTTCCATCAAGCGACTGCAAAGACGAAGTGCAACAGGAAGTGGTTGGGTTCCTAGTGAAACAATACAACTTTGTTTCAAGGGACCGTTTCTACCAGCATACGTACACGTTGAGGGTTTGAGGATTAAAGTGGATCCATATGTGTTTCCGGGGTCACAGTGTTCGCGCTGTTGGAAATTAGGTCATACAATTAAAAAATGCCCATATAACAAAGTGTGTCCTAGTGTGTCCTAAGTGCGGCGAAAACCATAAAAATTGTAATATAAATACCTACAAATGTGTTAATTGTACAGGTAATCACATGTCCTTGGCCAGGACCTGCCCAGCATATCAGCGGGAAAAAAGACTGAGGGAATTGATGGCAGAGTTTAACTGTACATATAGAAAAGCGCTTACAATTATTGTAACACCTAGCTCTCCGGTGCAAGAGACAAACACCTCGAACAGCAAAATAACCGTTTTAAGGTCGGAAGCTCCGCAAGCTCAGTCTACCTCATATAACCAGGGCCGCGAACATGTCCAGGTTACGTTTGCTCAGGTGGTTACGACTGATGCAATAGTACATAGTGAATTGGCACCGAAACATAACCTCCGGATCAAGAAGACCCCGCGGCTAGGCGCCAGGAGAGCTGTCTCCCCTGAACACCACGCTAATTCCATGGATACACCAACAATGGTGCATTTGGAGGCCAAGAAACCCTCGAAAAAGGAAGTGAACTTTAGTGAATTATTAAATAGACTGAAAGAGATCATATTTTTAAGAAATGCATGTATACAAGACGAGATAAAGGAGGTGATAAAGTGTTGTGTGGAATGGTTGATTTTAGTTATAGTAGATAATATTTCGGAATGCCTTTTTTAAAACTATTACTGGACTATTTAAATGGATAGTACAAAAAAACATGTTAAGATAAATATTATCCAGTGGAATTGTCAAAGTATCAGACCAAAGCTAGTTGCATTTGAACAGTTACTGTCGCAGGAAAAGATTCACATTGCGGTTTTAAGTGAAACATGGTTAGAGCAGGACAACCCATTAAAATTAGTAACTATAACATACACTGTAGGGATCGTTTCGATTTCTACGGTGGAGTAGCAATAATTACCCACAAAGCAGTTAAGTGTAGCTTACAAAATATGCCAATAGTTAACCCGGGCATAGAGATTCTTTATTTAAAGGTTTACAATCGTGTCGATATTGAAAACATCATGGCTGTTTATTGTCCTCCTTCTGTACATACAACCGTTAATGATTGGGATCAATTACTATCTTTTATCAATAAAAAATCCCTTTTACTTGGCGACTTCAATGCACACCATAATACTTGGTCAATGAAAACAGACTCTAGAGGAGTTCAGATTTTTGACGCGTTAATAGATAACTCGTTAATAACATTAAACAATGGTGGATCAACGCGCATTAAGTTAGTTAACGGTAGCTTGCAGGAATACTCCCCGGATATTTCTTTCTCATCTGCGGATATCGCTCTAAAACTCGATTGGGCCATAATAAATGAAACTTTAGGCAGTGATCATCAAATAATTAAAATATCCATTAATATTAAAACTAGTAATATGAAGGTTATAAGAAGAAACTTTAAGAAAGCCGACTGGATTGGGTACAAAGATGCGCTTCACAGGAATTTTTCAGGTATATCACTACCTATAGACCTACAAAACGCATAAGAATTATTCATTGAATGCATTAACGAAGCGGCTAAAGAGCACATCCCTCCTCTAAAAATCAACCATGATCCAAGCAACGAATTTAAACCTTTACCCTATTGGAATTCTGCATTATCTAAAGCAGTTGCTGAACGACGGTTGGCATTATCAAAATTTAGACGAAACCCTACTCCACAGAATTTTGATATCCTAAAAGTTAAAATTCCTATAGCGCAAAAATTAATACGAACAGCGAAAAACAACGCTTGGCAAGAGTTTTGTTCTACCATTGATCATTCAGCCTCTCAAAATGACTTGTGGCGTAAAATGAAATGGTTGAAGCGTTACAGGGCTCACAACCATTTTATTGATAAGGATTTAGCTTCCGAATTGATTAATACTTTGACACCTGATTTTGTTTCCCCCATGAAACCCGCTGTTCTATCTACTAATCAAAAAATAGAAACCAAAATCTCATTACATGAATTAGAAATGAGTATTCGGCCTACTGACACGTTCCCAGGAGCGGACCATATTTCATATTGCATGATTAAAAATTTCCCAAATAATGGAAAATGCTTATTGCTTGATTTATATAATATGTTTTTATGGGGTGTTTTTGTCCCTAATCAGTGGAGAGATATATTAATTGTGCCAATCCATAAACCAGGGAGAGATAACAGTTTAGTTTCAGCATTACGTCCCATCTCTATGATCTCGTGTATGTGTAAAATTTTTCACACTATTATTAAAAACAGAATATACAGAATGGTAGAGAGAATGGCTCAGGGGAACCCATTATCACCATTGCTATTCAACATAATTACGACACAAATATGCAAAGAGGTACAAAAGGTTCGCATATCATAATATGCAGATGACTTTGTTATATACGTGGGCCGTAAAAATTTATTAGAATATGTTGACTATCTCCAAGAGGCATTGGATTTAGTAAGCTCACTGCTTTTCAACATAGGTCTAGATGTGTCTCCTATAAAAAGTAAAGTGTGTGTGTTCTCTTGTGGATTTAGACGTGAGTTGATAGACTTAAAAATTAATGGCTTTTCCTTACAGGTAGTTGATAGTATAAAATATTTAGGTATATGGTTGGATCGTGGTCTAAGATGGGGAAAACATATAAATGAACTTGCCGAAAAAACGCTTAAGTTTCTTAATATTCTTAAATGTTTGTCTGGGCCAGGGTGGGGTCTACATCCATCACATTTGCGTCGTTTGTATATCGCAATCATAAGAAGCAGAATTGATTATGCTTGTTTCCTCTATGATAGTAGTAGTGTAACGCACCTTAAAAAATTAGAACGAGTGCAAAATCAAGCTATGAGAGTTATTGCTGGATTTTAAGAAGCACGCCAATACATGTGATGGAAAATGAGTTTTGTATTGAGCCGCTACATATACGAAGGTATTATCTTGCAGGAAAATTCTGGATGAAAACAAAATCACTATTAGATAATGAATTAATTATAGTATTAGATAAGTTAGACGAATATTTCGTGACTCATCCATCATGTAAGAAAAAGAAACCTCTGTTGGCAGTCGTATATAATTATCTTAAAAGCTCTAATATTCATACCTCCACGCAACTTGAAATGTTCTCATTAGATACCTGGGTTAGCAATGTGGATCTTTCTGGTATTGTACTTTCTCTTATTGAGACTATTGATAAACCTAAACACGACTATAGCAATGTGGTTCTGAGACAAATAAGTTTAAAATTTATTGATGACAAATATTTGCAATCTTATAAAATTTATACCGATGGATCTAAAGATAATAATAATAATATTGGAGCTGCTTTTTATGGCCCTCAGTTAAACATATCAATGAAATTCAAAATTAATTCAAACGTTTCTATAATGTATGCTGAACTGATAGCAGTTTCAGAAGCTGTATCGTACATTGCATCACTCAATCACAAATATCAGTATGTTATTTTGACAGACTCTTAAGAGTGCTCTGCAATACTTGGCTCGTTGTACCTCGAATTTTCGAGGAACACCGATAGCCTACAGTATTTTGAAGTGTATTGATAGTGTTACGAGCTTGAGGTTCGTGACAATAAAAATTGCCGATAGAATTACCTAAATTAATACTTTAATTCACTTTACACTAATTAAAGTTAAAAACACTAATAATTAATCACACTGATTCACTTTATTCCGCTCCGAAGCTTCACTTGTCTCGCCAACTTCAATACTTCCCCCGATCGCATCTTGAAGCGCCTATAAATATAAATTAGCACCGAAATATCCAGAATATTCAAGTAAACACGCGCAAGGTACCGAGAGTTCGAGTTTCAACTTCTAGAAGTTTAGATCTTCGGTTCGAGACTAGATGGCGCTGTCGGTTGAAAGATTGGTGATGTCATTTTCTGGAAAGCTCCCCTCGCTCTCGTCTCTGACACTAAATGACGCTAGTGCCGTCGACTTAGGCGCGTAACAATAGTTTAACCAAAAAAAAGAATATAATTGTTGTTTTACAGTGGATTCCTGCTCATATTGGCCTAGTAGGTAATGAAGCGGCGGATAGACTAGCAAAGGAAGCTTCCTCTGACGGTATATTACTGCATTGTTTACCTTATTTTTCAGACTTTCTATACAAGGTGAAAGAAAGATGTGTCGGTCTGTTGAAGGAATACTTTAATGAGAGATCTCTTACAAAAGCAATATGGTATAAAACTATTCAACCAAATATTGACAGTTTCATGGGTAGATACGGCCAATATGGGCAGGGCCGATATTGTTACAGCTCTAAGACTTCGATCGGGACACATACCAATGAATAGCTTTGCTTTTTTGATGGGAAAGACCGAATCCCCTAACTGTGTAGAATGTGGTCAGTTAGAAGATGTATTACTTATTTTGGTGGAGTGTGTTCGAATCGAGGCTGAAAGAGCAAATTTTTGCAATAAATACAATATAAATAGATTAGATATCGGATTTTGTAACAGTATTCTGGCCTTGCCATTATCTGGGGAAGCCAGAATGCTGTACAAAATGGTCCAAGTTGGACTTAAAAGAAGATAAAAAAATATGTAAATACAATGGGGGTGACATTATGATAATTTTATAAAACTCTCTTTAAAAAATAAAAGATTAAAAAAAATGTGATAAACATCATCGATAACATTGCAACTTGAACAGTTTGGTGAGGTAGTTTTTCGCATCAAGTATAAAAATTTATTGCATGGAATGTGCCCAGATCTGAGTCTTAATGCTATTACAGTGTCGCGTCTACACAATATTCGGTTATCTAACCAGGTTGAGCGCATTGGGTGCGGCTGGATCGTACGGTACCATATACCCTTCTCTTTTGCTCTTTCATCAAAATATTCCTTCCAAAGGTCATAACAATATTTTTTTTAATAAAGGTATACAAATTTGAAATAACGGGGTAATATTAATGTCAGTGCCTTCCGAAATAGCTTGTTTGGCTAAAATATCAGATTTTTCAATACCCTCTAAGCCAATGTGCGAAGGTATCCATTGTAAATATACTATTTTGGAGTCAGCCTGTAACTTAACTAGAAGCTTTAAAATCGCATATGCTGCTGGTAAGCCTCGAAAAACCGAAGTACACCGAGCAAGGTGTTGAAGCGCACTCCTTGAGTCTGTTAAAATAACGATATTGCATATTTACAGTTAACACAATGTTTATATTAAGTTTCATTTTAATTGGCGTGAGGTTTATTTCTAAAATTTTTGTGAAATCAAATGTGCAGGTTGACGATGCCTCTAAGGTTTCATTAACAATGAGTGTGCACACCATTACAATAATCTAGCTCGCAGTTTTTACCATGAGTGTGGACACTACTTAAATTATTAATCAAAAGGGTGGCAAAAGCTGACTCATATTATGATTTCTTATATTTACGCGAACACTACTCATTGAAATAATACGAACTTTTACGGAATTTATCGCGTATATTTAACTTTTTTACCCGACGTTTCGAGAGCTTTACAGCACCCATGGTCACGGGAAGGACTGAGATGTTCAACGTCCAGCTGTCATAGTTAACCGCGGTTACCATAGATTAAAATCATATTGGTCGCAAGTTGGATTAATATTGCGGCATCCGTGACGTTTAACCGATCTAAAGAAATCTTCCAGTGGGTCCTGATTTAGATGGCGCAACCACACAGATGTAATGCCAAAATCAATTGCAATTTTTTTAAT